ATGATGGTTGAGTAGATCATGTTGTGCGGGGTGAACCCTCACTCCGCGCAAGGGGGATGATCGCACCACGTTGTGTTAAAATGGTCAAGCACCCTCGAGGCAGTTACACAGTGCTTACAACTGTCTCTGGAAGAAAAAGCACCAGAAAATAAAATAATTCATACGCAGCTGTCATCCGTACGCAAGGAAGTAAGCACAAGATGCCGAACACCCTTAGCAGGATGCAGCGCACCCTTCATGCGACTCGCCGAATATCTCACGGCGCTTCGCGCTTGGTGATGTGAGAGCCTGGTCCGGTGAGAACCCGGCGTGCTCCGTCCCGGCTTTGTAGGGATGCGAGGTCAATGGTCTAACGACTACGGCATGCACGACTATGAGTACACCCCCCCCCCTTCCGATTCCAGGGCCTTCTTGAGGAACCATCACCATCCCGGCATAGTCTACAAACAACGCTTCCGTAGGGCGCGGGGGTATTCAGGTGGAAACAATGGAAAGTGAACCAATGTGAGCGAGTGTAAAGCATGTTCCAAGAGTTGTTCAGAAACAGTTTCGTGTAGGGGTGATAAAAATAATAATATTGTCACATATGGGAGGCGATGTGAGGGCGGCAAGTATCACACTTCGGGGGATAACCTTCCGCCCAACACCGAAAACAGACCATCTGTGTTCTCAATCGTCAATGTTCTTGTTGTGGGAGCATGGCTCGAGAACCGTCACCAGCCGAATCTTCACCCCACCTGAAGGCAAGGGATGAGGACCGTCATCGGTGGGGATCCCTGTGGAAGCATCGGTCCTAGAACTGTTCTTGCCGCCCGCGCTGCCTGGGGTTGTGCCAAACATCACGCACGTACAACCTTAATAGCTAGTCGTTGTGAAATGGGTACATCAAATGCCGCGAAGTACAAAGATAAAGGATTTGCCTTGCTAGGTTATAGGTCATACCGAACGTACCAACGTGTTGGTTCCTGAGGAGCGTGGTGTAATTTTCACCGGACTTTGGTCTAGAGCCCTGGGAACCAGTACTGACGAAGATCACAAGTGTCTACACGACCTGTCTTTTTCATGCACAAATCGGGAAGCATGGGTCGACAGATTTTTTCTGGTGCTGCTCTGGGTCGTCACTCACGGCGTTTTTGTTGAGATTAATCTTGGTAATCCTTTCCCGAAGGATGTCTTCGCTGAAAACGCCGACCTGAAAGAGAGAAAGCGATTGGGAGGGCAGCGGGGGAAAGAACGGCAAGGGTTGTTTGGTGTTGCAAACACGACCCCTTTCTTTTTCAACGGTTGCCTGGGACACGTTCATCGCAATGACGAATTGATCGGTTGGCAACGGTCGTCAGGTGGAGAGGTCGCGATGAAGCCCAAAGTTTCTCAACCGTATGCCGACTACAATTGACAGACGACCGCAGCACAGAGAATAGGATCATGTTTCCAAGATGTAGCACAGTATACTATGCGACCCCTCGAAATTACATCCCTTGGCGAGGATGTTCTACTGGAGCTTACCGTTCTTAGCTCTGCCAGGAACCGGTAGAGGAACAAGGCCGATCGGTGATCGAAAGGGGGTCCGGTGGTAGGGTCGTCCACTCCGAGTAAATCTCCCAAGACCTTGCATCGTTTGTAGTCCGCGAAGTGAACCAGACCGGCCGCGAACTGCGCCAGCATCAAGTTCGTTGTATTCTCCATGCCGTGAAGGAGCTGAAAACACAGGAAGTCAAGAACGCACCGGCGTGAACGAGAAGACCGGTCGATAGGCGCGGCACCTATTCCATGCTCTTTGAAATTGGTGCAGTAAACAGCACATGTTGTGCGCATATACCACCTGGTTGATCGCGGGGTAGTTTCGATATCTGATGTATTGGGGAACACCTGGAAGTGCTTGATGGCGATCTCGGTCATTCCTCCCGGCTTCTGGCACAACGATTCCGCCGTGTCTAGCGATCGACTCCACACAAGCATCATGTCTAACACCTGTATTTACCCAATTCGTCAACGCGGGGAATTCAGGCGAACATCTCAATACCAAATTATTCGGATTGTGAGGCATTCAAGGACGGCTGTGGTGTGCGTTTCCACACGATTTCGTACAAACTTCTCCCAGGCGCCGATGAATGAGGATGGTAGTGGTGCAATGTACAGAAACAAAGAGAAGAAGAGGAAAAAGACGGTTTTCAGCAGGCTGGACCATTTGGAATTCCTGCAAGGATAACACGAAGCACGTACGGGGCAAACACAACGGTATACCACCGTACAGTGGTGCCTCATAAAAGCGAACACCAGAACATACGTCGACGGTTGCACCTAGATCCCTAGAGGTGTTTCGATATACGCCGAAGCGCTCTTTCCTCGACCACTATCGTAGATGACGTTCATGAACTCTGGCTATCGCGTGAAATAGTTTGTGCTCTCAGCACACTGCTATGAAGGGCGACCACTCACCGTGCGGAGCATGTACCCCAGGGTGGGTATCTTTTTCGGGGCGGAGGCCATCCCGATGCTGTTACGCAAATCTAGCGGAAGAATCTCGGTCTTAGATCCCTACGTGAAGTGCACCACATGTTTTACGCACATCTTTCCATCAGCCGAGCGAGTAAGTTATTCTGTTCTTTGCGGTTAAGCTAAACTATACTATATCTTGGGTATGGTGCTGTCGTTTGGGGGGAGGAGCATGTTTCCGCGACAGGCGGACTGAAAACCCAACTTTGTTGTTGAGGATGTGCAGCAAGAGAGTCAGCGCACATAAGCGCCAACAAGCTGCCGCCGAGTGGTTGCAACACTGCACAGATGTCTAATTACATCTGAAAGTTGGATCTGTTGGAAGCAGTAATGGACAACACCGCACACCACGATGTTCGGAATATTCGCTTGCTCGGCAAGGGTGACCGATTGTGTGTTGACGGGTAAACCTGCCCTGTTGCACAACTCGCACGGAAACCAGATGAACCACGTTTTGCCTTTGCCTTTCTTTTTATCGAGATAGAGCAAAACTGCGCATATACTTGTTGGTGAGATAATTCTTGTGGTCGGCGACATACAAAACACGTTTATCCGTGCCTCTTTGCTTTCTTGTAGAGACCCACCTTGGTCTTTTTGGGGGGCCTCTTTTTGCCTCCAGTGCCGGTCCCCGGCCTGCTGTCAGACTTCTTGTCGCGCATCGGCCTTGTCTGGGTCTCTTTGGTGCGCCTCATGGCCTTCCTGCCCTCTCTGCAGAAAACGAGAGACATGCGGGGGAGCAGGGGGGTGAATCGTCTCTGGAGAACACGAGGCACTTAGTGAACAATTTCAGGAAATATCAGAAGGGGGAGGGAGTGGGGTCTCTTTGCCAAGGAAGTCTGCTTGAACTGAAAGAGGTGAGGCAATGAGAATCCGTCTTGCGGCGACATGAAGCAAGGCACATCGTGATTGATAGAAGGTTTCCGCGGTGATTACGATTTTGCGGGTGAAAAACGGTACGTTATCGAGGTGTGGTATTTCGCTGGGGGTGTGTGCTGTTGGCCGGTTGTTTCCATGGAGAACCCTAAGGAGGAGTCCAGCTGTCGATATGAAGAGTCACTGGGATTGGTTTCAGGCTTAGTTTGTCGCTGATCTGTCTACCAAGGAAGCTTTGTCGTCACAACGACAGCATCGTCATGGGCAATAGGAAAGGACCCGACCGTTCTCATTACCCCCTGTCTTCTGAGTTGGGTTGACCGCTTTCACTTCTTTTTGCCGGTCGCAGCGATTGTGGAATAACCTTAGGAGGTGAATCTCAGGCGGGGCTCACTTATTTATTCCCTTGAGGAAGTTCATGAAGTGGACCCCGTCGATGAGTTTTGCCAGCGCGTTCAGATCCTGCGGAAGGCATCATACGTTGGAGCGTTGAAAAAGGAAATGGGATAAACACTACATGACGAACGCCACACTATTCCAAAAATGAGTACGATTCCGCTCAAACTGGTCAGCCTCTAGTACTTTCAGAGCAAGCGGCAACCAATAGATATATTCTCAGAGCAGGTTACTCCCACGAGCCCGAAGTAGGGAGCAAGGCTGGATCGATAAAACCTTGAATGTTGTTCACGTCTTTGGCTATCGTTAAACAACGACGGTCACGATGTTCGTTGGTCTGCGTCTAGGCTAAGTGCACAGCTACGTATTCACCTCTCCAAGTTCTTGCTATGCTTTTTTGATAGAAAATTGTGGACACATGACCGTTACGTACGTACCGTGGTCATATATCTGCGCAGTGTGTGCTTGTCCGTTGCCTGCACTACTATGATAAAGCCTACCGAAAGCCCACGCTCGCGAGCTATATTCTGTCGGTGCCAACCTCCGATTTCGTTTTTGGTGAGCGGATTCTCACAACGAACACGAAGAGTGGTGGATGTGCATGTTCGTCGGCTAATCCTGTTGTTACGGGCGCCAAAACATTCATCAGGCTTTGGTTGGGACAGCTCACACTTGTTTGCTTGCTGCTCTCGGTGCTGATCTGGGACAGCATCTTGTTAAGCTCCGTCTCGTGCCTCGCGTGCATGTTCATCTTTTCGGTAGACAGCTCCAAGATCGTCACCACGTCGTCAACACCTAACGAAGGTCCCTACCGCAATATCAACAGGACCAACGAATGAACGATGGATTTTTCGTTGGCCTGAGGAAGAAATGTTTGTTTCAGCCACGGAACCATTGCGAGGAACGAAGTCAGGGAAAACTCCCCAGAACTATTGAACCATTGCGAGGAACGAAGTCAGGGAAAACTCCCCAGAACTATTGAACCATTGTGAGAAATCGAGTCAGTGAGAACTCCCCACGACCATTGAAACAGCAACTACTGAACATCCAGTCGTTCGCTGCAGGAACTCCCAGGCGGTATGAGGCGAACCTGGCCTTGATCAACTCCATACCAGCGCCATCCGGAGAAAAAGCAAACGACGGTCACAGAATAAAGGAGATCTGGCGTTGTTCTCCACGCGCACTTGTACGGCAAACACTCCATGCGGATCACCTCTGTTTTCGCCCTTCGTGCAGGTGACTTCGGCAAGGCGACGGCCTTCTTTCCCGCCGGAAGAATCGGCATGGATACGCCGTCTTCGGTCAAAGAGTTGTGGACCTTGGCATTTCTCGGTCCTTGCTCATCGTCATCAACCTTGTCCAGAACGATTTGCCTGATGAGTAGGTTCAAGATGTATCGAGCGTGATGTCGTTTTCAAATGCGAACGGAACGTCGTCGTTGCTTTGACCACGAACTTGGCCACTTTGAGCAACCTCCGCGTCTTCCTCGCCAATTCCGTTTCAAAATTGGCGGAAGGAAAAATCGAACTCGGCGATGGACATGGAGTTGGTGCTTGTACCTCTACCGGGAGTGTTTGCCCACCACCTGTTTTATCCAGAACAGATTGCTCGTTCGATCACAACTCATGCCAGGATTGACTTGCTTCCTGCAGCAAAAGCTAACCCCATGCACTTACTATCCTGGCCTTGCAAATCCCTTTCCAAGTCCTGCCTCAATATCCTCACGGTGTGTACTACGGGAATGAGTTCATCCCTTGCCTGAGTCTGGCAACTTCGTCGCCGTAGTACTTGAGCTTGACTCGCAAGGATGAGCACAGCGCCCGACTCTCCCTTAGCTCGGCCTTGGTGAGATTCTCCATGAAAGCTTGCTCTTCGATGAGGGCGTCCTCTTCGTTCATCTTTCGGTTTGACTCACCGGTCAGGCCAGCAAGCTGGGCCTATTTTTCGTTGTGGAAAGCGCAGGAGGTTTCTTTTGTTGTTGTTGTTGTTGTTGTTGCTGCTGCTGCTGCTGCTGCTGCTGCTGCTGCTGCTGCTGCTGCTGCTGCTCGAGAATGACGGAGGTTTTCCCGTTCTGTTGTCGGCGAAGGTGCTTGTGATGTTTCCCTCGCTGGGAAACGTATTGGGCCACCTCCATTATGTTCTCACTTCCGCGCTCTCGAGATCGTGCCTATGCATTCTTATTTCTGTTGTCGCGCGTCGTTTTCTTCACTGTGCTCATAGGTCGCGTCTGTTGCGTCTGTTGCGTCTGTTGCTTTTGGTTTGTTTGGTGTCATTGTCTCACCTATATAGAAGGATTCAACCAAAACCCAGAACTCCCGAAACTAACCCGCCCTGATCCTCCAGACGCAGGACTCCAAGTTTTGATGTCACAGGGCAATCTCACTTTTCCTACGCATAATTGCTGTCCGAATACGCTTAAGAAAATCTCACCACTCGTGAATTTCATAGTGCTCTGTTGGAGTGATTTCGATGATATACTTCGCTACATGGTAGTCAAATCCAATATTGAAGTAACCTTCGGTGATTTTTCCCGATATCAGCAGCATGCAACAGCGTTCGTTCGTGCCGACCTGCAGCTTTTGCAGCTGGCCCTCACGGGCATCATGGACCTTGATCAGGCGAGTGAGCAGAGCGTGGTGCCCCGTGAAGGCCTGCCAAAACCAAGGCCAGCCGAAAACGGGCACAGGGATGACGTTGGAAGAGGTTATCTCAAGCAATGAAGTTTGTCGCTTCCGGATGCCCGTAAACTACCGAGCACTCGCGAAGGAGGGAGCGACGGGGAGTGTTCAATTTTCAGGATGCGGGAACGGACAATGCGACAGATTGATAAGCCGAGTACACTTGCTCGACCCTTCGAAAGGGCTCTGAAGGCACTTCGGCGCAGTTCAGGAGTTGGAAAGGTGTGGTGCCGTGCGTACTCCACTCAGTTTTCCCGAGTGCTACCTGGCCGGAGGGCACACCCTCTTCCTCCCGCCTGCCGATGACACTCTTCGAGAACTAGTTTCGTCACACTTAAGAGTGAAGATGCAGATGCTACCAAAGCGTGGCGGCGAGGATAGCTATAATGAAAAAATCATACTACCAGGAAGCCTGCCTGTTGCTCTGATATCTGACTAACGACCAAGCACCCCGAGTCAACTCGGGCTTATTGGATAGAAGATGCTGTGATCACCCCGTTCTAGTAGCGCTACGAAATGGGTTTATCGTGAAAATATCCGGCAGGCGGCGTCCCATAAAAAGGAGGTATGTAAGCCTGTTGACGTTTGCTCACCTTCCCCACAAGTGTGGCCAGGGCCATGGAGTGCACCGCCACTTGCCGGATGAGCTCGTCGAAGACAATGCCGTATCTGAGCGCCTTCTCGTTGTAAAGGTGCGTTAAACTTTCTCGTTTGGATTCAAGATCCTTTCCCGATGGATGTGATACTCTAGGAAGCACAGGAAGGCATATATCGCGCGTGAGATATCGAGTTGGCATGCCCGCGGCGCGCGGGGTGTGGTCACAGATCTTGTTGTCATGTACGACAACCATACACAAACGCATGGGGTATCGTAGTGGCGACCATTGAAACACGTATCCCTACCCCCAAATCAAATCATCCTTCAAACTTATCTAGAAAAATGGATCGAAATGCATGATTTGTGAAACCGTTCCCTAAACATATCTTGGGATCCTGTTGAATGTCCCTTGAGTAGCTCAACATTCTGGACTTTAACCGTTTTTCGCAGATCTGAATGGATGCACGAACGATGCTTGGGTCGTTGCATTGCACCATGTGTTGTTCCGAAGTGTACCAGATTCATGCTGCACACGCATGGCTGAGACCTTTAACTCCGGCACTATCGTCACTATATTCTAAGCACAACGACTCTAACACATACGAACCCCGTAACTCCCCTCCCGAAACGCACTGTGGCTTAACGCCTTCGGGGCCAACGGCCTCGCCGCTGCTGACATCGCGCCGGATGTCCAGCATTTCTCCGATCCACTGTTCCAGGTACGCCATGTCGTGGGCATGCGCGTGGAACACGCCACGCGGATGTCGATCTCGTGTCCCGTGATCGTTGGTGGAATCCCCTTCGTTTTGCGGGTCGTAGTCTGAATCTGGTACCCGATTCTTGATCAGGAAGGCGTCAACAGCTAGGGATGCCCCGGCGTCTTCGGGCGACGAGGGGTTCTCCCCTTGGAGGCCGGCTGCCGCAGAAGATGAGCACGAGCAAGGATACTTATTCAGGAACTGGAGTCGTTGTCATTGAGCTACATTTTATTCCTGCTCGCTATATGATCAGTACCACGTCTTCGCCACCCGCACCCATCGTCGATCGCCGAAGCTGTTGCAGGATATTTGTTCGTGCTCGATGTCCCTGCTACAAGGCGTACGGACGGGTGATTGCAGCCAATGTAGAGTACACGGGGCATTTCGCCGCCTTGCTGGACGATCAATGTTCCAGTTTCTTTGGTTTCCAGTCCAACCGTAAGTTTCCACTACGGAGAAACCATCCTCGTCCGACCTATGTGGTAGGGGACTGGCCACTTTGGACTGAACTTTTCCCATGGCATGAATTCCCGGTGTACATGACGCGCGTCGTGTAGTGAAAGGTGAAAGAGTTACGTGTGTCGGCGGGACACGTATCAGGGAGCACGGAACTGCGAAACTCAATGCATCATTATCGACTCGAAGAATCCGAGAACAGCTTCGTCGAGTTTGTGGTACTGGTGGGCCGGAGCTCTCGTTAAACATTTTGTTCGAGACTCAGACACCGAAAAATAGGCTCTTCTGGGAAGCTTTAATTTTTTCTAGGTTGGTTCCCTACATACCTTACTTGGTTTCGTGCTTCTAGACCTGGAATCCTACGCAAGGAATTCAAACTGAGTATGCTTTTCCCCGAGTAATGGGAGTTGTACCTTGGGCTACATGTTGTTATCTTTAGCATTGGTTCGGGTATGTATGTGACGATATCTATCTGTCCGAAGGGTAGGGAGGACGCGTTGATAGAGATAGGAAACGGATGTTTCAGCGAACAAGGCGGATAATAAGATGCTTACATCACTCCTGTATGACGCACATCTTCGTTTCGCACTCAAATCCCGCATCGTCAAGTGCTCCCTCCTTTGTCCCCACTCTGAAACCTCCACAATATCAACAGAGTCCTCGTACTCTTGTTGATTCAGGGCACTATTTAGCTGCCAATAGGATCTTAAGAGTGGAGTCAAATCTAATCGTTCGCTTATCCGCGTGCCTTCGCCGGGACTTTAATATCGCTTACATGCCAGCTGCTGCTGAGGATAGGACCTGAGTTTGGGTCATAGCACCGTTCGCCCAATTGATTTCTTTTGTTGCACCATGCCCACCAAGTTTAGAATGCGTTCTCTAGGTTCCATACACGGAATCACGGCCACCGAGAGAAAGACAACGGATGACATTTTTCTAGGAAAGCAGCGCATTGAACAGCGGAGTTGAAAAAAATGAACAGTTGATCTTATGTGTCGCCCAGGTTGACGCGTCTATACACTCTGCCGAAAATTGTATTCTGACGTTCCACAGCAGATCGAATTGCAACACGCGCACGCTTGATATCTCTTCTCACCCAACATGTTGTTCTGCCGTAGGCCTGGAAAAGCATCTGGCTTGAGAAAGGAGATTCCCTGGGACTTGGTACGTTCGGGCGATGTGTCCGTTCGGGGCCGGGCCGGCATGGCTGGTACTTCCCCCGGCTTCCGCTTGCTGGCAAGAGTGGCTACAGGGTTCCCAAGGGTGAGCGAGGGAGCAGCAGCGCGTCACGTTGCCCTTGTGTACAAGTCACAAGGCATACCGCGCCTTCACAATAAGCGGAGGGACAATAAAGCGGATGTTGCGGTTCGTGTTCGAGTGTTCCCGTCCGTGGTCGTCGTGACGGTTTCATTAATTGACGATTGCGTCGTGCGGACAGTTCCGAACCCGAACCGCGCCCTGTTCGGGGTATACATCGACCAGAAAGTCTCTCTGTGACTGTACTCATGTATTCAGAAGTATTTTCTTGGAACAGGGTGCAAATGGCAGCGCGCGACGACAGGAGACAGAAGGAAGGAAGAGAGGCTACAGCAGTACCAGGGAAGCGCCTTTTCGCAGTTCGTCCACAATTTCGTCCATAGCGAAGCTGCCGGTCGTTCCCAGGGAATGATAATGACGGACAGTAGCCAGCAGGATCGACCTGCAACGGAATCAGAGGCATGTTGCGCTATCGAATGGCATCGAGTCGAGAGGGCCAAGTAAGTTTGTCGATGTAGATCATGGTCGTGTCAATAAAGTACTGCGGTAATGTATGTGTACTGCTGTAGTCAGGTTTCTTGGTGTCCCACTATCCATTGCGTCGGAAATCTTCGGTACTGCAGAACGACGTCCACAACGATACGCTCAGCAGTGGCAACCGCGATCAACCGAATTTCAGCATCTGCGGTGACGCCACAACGTCTGACCGGAGAATGAAAGAATGCCAGCCCCCCCCCCGGTGGAAAAACATAGGCGAAAGTCACTTGAAGGGGCGGATCCTCGAGGGATAACCATGCGAAAGGTTTGGGTGTGTCCCACACACGGCGGTAGCCTGTGGTTAGGCCTTTGTACCACTGCCGTGCATGCGTAGCGTGCATCAGTACTTGTGGGATATACACAAAACTTTTGGCTCTGGATATTCCGCTGATGGAGAGCGAACCGCACCGCTGCTTGCTCGTGGTTTGAAACAAAGTAGGCAGACGCTACGCCACAGGGTGGGCCGCTTGAAAGAAAAGCAGCGTGTGGCTGCCACAAACAAATGGGCAGGGCAGAACTCCAGAAGGTCAGCGTACTATGTATTGTCGGAAGATGAATAACCTACTGCTGTACCCACGGAACGATATTGGTTAGGTTGGAAATGCCAAGTACTTGTGCCACGATCCGGAGAAGATCATGATCTCTGCCCGGCAACTTGTGAATAGCGTGGAGGAGGGTTCAAAAGCTTCTTGCAACTTGGCGCCACGGTAAACGGGCCGGAAAAGAGCAAACGCATGTGGTCTAAACAACTCAAGCCGCAACTTGCAACCGGGCCCTTGTTGGTTGATCAAGTGCGAAGATGCAGGTGGCGGTGAAACAGGCACTACGCGACTGGTTCGAGGCCGCTCGGAAAGGGTCACAAGGGGTATCCGGCGCTGAGGTTGTTGATGCGGTCATCACGCTCGGGCTGAACTACGATTACAAGCAGGTACATCGACACGGCACTGACTGTAGCAAGGGCGGCAACACAACCCACAGAGACAGAGGGTTAGCCAAAGTCTCAATCCCTGTCTTTAAAGTGGAGATGTCTTCACTATTTCTCGATCGACCCTAGAACGGGGTTCGAGCGTGGTGAAGTACATGTAGGCAAGCATGACCGCACAGTGGAGACAATGTGTGAGTTGACTCCCGAGCGACATGCATGCGTGGAAGCTCGACTCAAGGGGCCCACTTCTCAAACACCCATTCCTCAAATCCGGGTCAACACGGTAAAGTGTTGCTAATGTCACGTTCGTTGCCCCATCTCTTGCCGTTAATATTCTCAAACGAAGCAGGTGCAGAGGATCGTCTTCGCCGAAGCCCGGGATACGAACGGTCTTCTGTGTTCCGTCAAGAGCTTCACCTCGGCTCTCCTGGCGTGCTGCTCGAGTGACCTCGAGAAGGAAAGGTTGTTTCGATTGTTGCGTGGAGAAGGAGACTGGCGGGGGTTCGGACTTGGAGGTAGGTGCCGAAGGTATCCTTTCTGTGTTCCGGTTGTCGTGCGACCGGTCTCTGGTATGCATATGCTCCAAGTTAGCCGGGCTGCAGGAACGTCTTGAGCGAGAAGGCCTCCAGATTCTGTGACACAAACGTCAGCGAACTCTCCATTCTCATCACGTACTCTTGAGCAAACACGAAATGTCTCCAGCTGTCGCCAAGCAAGCTTGCTGAACGCAAACCTGGCCAGGGTGTTGGCGTGTCGCCACACGATTTATAACGAGCGGTCCGGTATTGCTCAAGGTGCTAGGGGGGTAGGCTGAAAATCAATAATGGGATGGTCGGCGCCAGAACAGACACCGTTCCCAAAACTAAGACACCAACACGTCCTCGCGATGTTCTTCATATCTAGATTGACGTGAGACGTTTAAGCAGCGACCCACGGAATGTTTGAGCAAGGCCGTGAATATCAAAACACAAGAAATGGTTCTGAGATCATGGTCTGGTTATTCCCTGCCTTCAATCCCTCCCGTTGGGCGATGCAGGGGATAGAGATACGCCCCTGCCGACGGCTGCTGCTGCAGCAGACACCGGCTTTGTTTCAGGCGGGCCGGCTTTTATCACCCGTCTCGCGGCATATCGCAGGAAGGTGGGCAACATTCGACAGGATAGCAGTGACAAGGACATCTGAGGGTATCAATCCGGCCTGGAGTAGTCTATGCTGTGTACGTCAAGTTCTAAAAGCCTCCGTACGCTTCCCGTCGCCAACCTAGACCTGAAGACGCTCGGTCGTTCCTCGCATCAGGTTCTCATGGCCGCGGTCGTGGAGAAATTTCCGATCCCTGGCACGGCTTCGCTCTGGACGCCAGACAGCGAGAATGAAGGACAGCCCGAAAAGGGTTGCTGCCAGCTCCCCGGGAGTGATTCCTCCGTCGACACAGCCAGAAACTCGGCACCCTCTGCCCGGATACCCGGTCTCGCTCCTACCGAAGCGGGCTGCGCGATTCGCACCGGCACGAAGCATAACGATGGCATGAGTACATCGTGTGGGCAATTATACTCTGTGCCTGTCAGCGGCGAGGATGGTGATGGTAGCGATGGCTCGGGAAGGCCATCAGGTGGATCCACATCCAGCAACGGTACGGAGTCATTCCGATACACCTTATGTAGCGCTATTGCTAGCACTCTCACAACAACTTGTTCATCAGCACGACGCGGAGCAACAACTATCACATTACAGCATCAAGCGAAACGCATCGCGATGAAACGCAACGTGAGCACGATCGCCTGCAGCACTGGCTCAGTGATCCGCGCCAATGCTTCGAAACCGATTTTCGGTCCATTCACCGATGCTTCTTGCCTCCGTCAACAGGCGTGGTGCCTGCCCGCACGATTTCAGCGGAAGAACGAAAGCGGTACGACGCCGTAATGGAGGGTATCGTGCTGGCTCAGGAGCGTAACGAGCTCCACAGCGCTGCCTCAGCCGCGGGAGGACCGACACAAAACACCGAACAAGAATTCACCACCACCGGGCAGCAAGAGCAAGCCTTCCCGCGGGAATCACAGCCACGATTGGGAAGCAGTTCACCGACAGCGCCGGTCGCAACACGGGAGGAAGGAAGACCTACAGCGGGATGCCGGCCACGCACAACGTCCGCTTGCCAAGGTGGTCACTTTCGATCGGCGGTCGCTGTTGCTTCCGCGCCTGGAAACGGCTCGAAAGGTGCGAGAGTGTTGCGCGAGAACCCTGAACCTGTTGTGGTGGACATCTAGGAGATTTACTGCCGCCCAACTGTCTCGTCAGGCGCCGTGCCCCACCGGGCGTGTCATGCCGTGGCTTGGTCCCTACTGCTATTGTTAGCTATCTGCCTCTGAAAGGCAACAAAACCATGTCCCTGTTTGTCCACATTCGTTGGTTCGAGTGAAGGCCACCAGCGACGTGGAGCGCCCGGGCAGACCGCACCGTCCGGCAACGGTGATGACCTTGTTGACTGGTCAAGCTCAAGCGGGCGAACCACGATGGCCGCCGTGAGGAGCGGTCAGCCTCAACGAGGGGCTTCGGCGAGGGAGGTACAAACGTTTGCAGCAGCTGGCCTTGTTCGGGCATGCAACTCCCCTTTTCAAAAAGCAGTTCTGATTAGCCGTGTCCGGAAGTTCCCTGAAGGTTATTGCGTATTGATGTGGTCTCAAGATGAGAAATATCTGTTCGTAGTTTGCAAGTAGGATAACCTCCCCTCTGAGTGCCCGGAGCATGCATGTTCCAAACGCACTGAGGAGTCGACTGTTTATTCGAAGGTTGTCCGCAACACGGCCGAGGGACTGCGAGACGCTTTGCGCAAGAGAGAGCTGCACCTCGCCAAAGTGGAGGCCCGTTGGGAGAATTATGACGGTAGGTGTGAATCTTGTTTTTGTGGTCCACTTGCATGTGATGGGTGACGGCTTGCGGTTGTGGACAACATCTTTTGATGGGAATCTGAATCTCGAGTCGACCCAACGTTCAGGGTGCTTATATCTACCACTAAATATCGCACTTACGGGACAATACCACCGCCAGTAGACAATAACTGCAAGCACCACGAAAAGGTACGCTCAACCTCACCATGCAACTGCTACGACGGCATTTTGTATCCATTCCTCTTGAGCCTTCTTTGGTCGTTTTTCGGTACATCGTACTGTCGTTCTCGTCTGCCTCTACACCACTGCCTCTTGCTTTGGGCTCCACGATCAGGAATATCTACTTGAGCATAATCCTACACCAGGTGCATGCACCTAACACTTCCGGCGTGTGCGTGCACCCGTTCTCGGCTTTCAGTTATGAAGAGGAGGTGGTGGCGACGCACACCCATTGGTATCTTAAACGGCGACGGACTTGATGAGGCGGACAGGAGCTACTCTCGGATGTCCAGACCGAGTACTAGCGAGGTGACGCACTGTCGGAAATCACGAGGCCAAGGGGAGAGGGCGGGGGGATCATCAGCAGGTGTACAACGACAGCGCAAGGCTTTGCCGCCATGCACACACAGCGGAACGATTGAATGATCACGTGCCATGATTTGCATGTCCAGGTGGCGTGCCTCTCAAGTTGGCATATGTAGGATTGGTGATACATTCGTCGCATCTGCTGTGCCGATACCAACGTCCTTGAAGCAGGGGACTGGCTCCAATCGCCTGGGTTTCGCTGGAATTGGCCCAGCCAGCAGCCCACACCTAGTCGGACGCGTATGCTCGGTGTCCACATGCCGGCGGCCAAACACCGCGCCAGCAGGCAGCGTCACTCAGGGCTCACTCTCGGCTGTCGTAGCCATTGGAATCAGCAGCTTGAACTCGACGACTAGCCTCACGTTCGCTGGAACTAGCAGCTGCGACGACGGTAGGAGCAGCACTAGCCGGAGACGTGGGGCGGCAAAGCCCAAGGCCCTTGGACCTATCCCGCTAGACGAAGGAAAACAGCTTCGATATCCACTTTTGCAGCTAGAAAGGGAAAAGAGGAGAGCCGATAAAATGCGTTGTGCTCGCGGACGTGCGCAGTCCACCGATGTAAACGAAAACGGCAACTCGGATATGTTCGTCGATATTTCGGTTTCGAGGGATTGGAAGGGGCGGTGGCGACCTCACTTGGCGAGAGTACCGTGCGGACTTGAGCCTGCCTAACACAGGGAGAAGCCCCCCCCGTGTGTGTGTTGTGTGTTTTCGTACTATTCGTGGCGACAGTCCCTCCATTTTTTGTGGCGAGACGTACTACTACACGTGTTGCAGTGCATGTAGGGTACCACACTTTTCAGCGTAGTTTTTGTACAACTTATCTACAACTATCTAGGGTCACACAGGAGGGGGTAAACACCGGGGTGTTTTTCTTCTTTCCGTGTGCAGTACCGAATGGCAGCAGTCCGGTTGGAAATCGTTGCGTTCTAGTCGTGGGTCTGTCTCTTACTGCATCGCCGGAAAGTACGCTGTGGACACCAACAACTTACGTAGGATCGGTAATATACGCAGGATCATACACATCACACAGGTGGCGAACCAGACGTCGTGCAAGTCACCTTCAGAGCCGCACACCTGAGAACCTACATCCTGCAAGGGCATCCTCATGAGGGCCTATTAGCAACGTGGAGGTGACTTTCGCCTGAGGTGGACACAAATCTTTGTGCAGTTCGGTCCGGTAAACCCAGTGTTTGAAGGGGCCCACAACCAAGCACCCCCAGGTTCCCGACACAATGCTGAAAACAGCATCGGCTTGTCGGATGAGATCCAAATTCACCACCTCAGTGATGTGTTCATCCCGGTGCGCCAAAGAACAGCCCCGAGGCTGAACGCCATTGCTCAGAGCGTCTCGGTGTTGAGATAGCCGGAAAAAATACCGTGGCTAGGGAGTAAGGCTCGCGTGCCACAGAAAAGTCAGAGATTGAAAAGTCGCCAACGATCTCCCGTTTTGTATGAGAAAGAGTACGCGTGGTCTATTGTCGTGCATGCACGGCATTCTTCCGGGCAGGCGCGTACTCGTTTGCTAGTTGTAGCGGTCCCGTTTGAAACATGGTACCGCCACGCCTACTACTCTCCGAGCCGCAAGTTTTGCGCTGCCCGAGACCTCTCTCTTCCCCTGGGGGTTCGTTGCTTCGAAATTTGAAAATACTAGATAACCTACTCGGCAACCATCCCGCTTGATATTACCTGCGATACAATTCCAGGCCACCTGAAAACACCTTGGCGTACTATCTAGGTCAAACGCGTGGGCACTCTGCGCCTTCCCCGTCACAGTACAGAACGCCGAGCAGCACTGAATACTACTATTGTGCTTGTGCGTACCACCAAGCATACCATGGTGCGGCCGCCGCTCGCCCTGGTTCCGGTCGCAGGAATCTTTGGATTGACATAATGTGCGGCATCGTACTCGTTGTGGCATTCAACACTTCACAACACGGCACCTGAAGGGGTAAAAAATCCGACAACAACTTGGTTGTAGAAAACAGCACCTTATGTGAGCGCAGCTCGCCCGCTCGAAGAAGAATAACACCGACAAGGCGCATTAAAGCCTCTCACGCCCAAGGCCTCGTACCTACGTAACGCATCCAGTGTACAGCAAAGGGCACCGCGAAAATGGTATCTACGCCATCAGACACACGGAAGGCAACCAAGACTAGCTCTCGACCCTATTGGCGGCGCATGCGAAAGAAAAAACCACGACCATGACCAATCAGGGTCTCTTATTGTGAGGCGCTCTATTCCTCCACGGCATGTGAAACAGGACTTGGTTTATCTCTCTATTCGTCCCATGGCTACTGAACAGTAACCACAAATTGTGTTTACTTGTTGCCGTCGTCGGCCTCCTTCATCGCGCCGAACGAGTCGTCCATTGTGATATCATCCATCGTGCCCTGACGGCGAGCAAACACAACCTGCATTCCCGAACGATTCGGGAAGTTGGCGCGACGGCATGTGTTACAATGGTTCCATGAATGTCGGCTATATCGAGGCCCTTGCATCGAACACGTTGCAGATGGATCATGTAGCGCAACCACTGCCTGATCGTCCTGCGGCGAGCTTGCTCTTCGCGCCCTGACGGCAAGGGGGGAGATTCCTTGCTATCTGGATCGGTTCCGAAAGGGTTGGTGCCACTGCTCGGCGCTTTCGTGGGGTTGTGTGCTGCGGGCGAACGAAGAAACCATAGCGTCACGATGCCGTGATGACGTCGGAGGGGATCTCAACTCGAAGTGGCCGGGGACGTACAAAAGCGCTTCCGAGTGGCATGCCCTACATCGCGTCCTCACCTCATTCAAGCTCTGCCCCTGGCGCGTGTACTTGTACTTGGCCTCCGTGAAAGACGGGCAAGGGCGGTAGGCCTTGATGGGCAGCCACGGAACCAGCGCCCCGACCCCCCCCGAAATCCTGAGCCGCCAAGCAAGAGTCCACCGCGGGGTCGAAGCGAAATCAAAGGTTCACCCAAATACATGCTCCGTTTTCGCTTCGATGAAAGTATTAATCGGTAAATGACCGCACATAAAGCTGGACTGCAGAAAGTGCCAAGCTTTCTTCGTTTCCGAATTGGAACGTAATCCGTCAACTGCCAACGCTGGCACGGTGGCGGCGATAGACAATCGGGTACAACCCGTGGAATTTATGGAACGCTTGTCATGGACTTCGATAACGGGAAAGGGGGAGGAATGCCCTGGGCACAAAACGCGCAGGATTTATGGGGATCCCGGGAAATATATATGGGGAGGCACTGGAATGATACACATGTGGTACCCTTGACAGGGGTAGCCGTAATAAACCTGTTCCTATTGTTGACATGGTTGTTGCTGAAATGGAGACCTGCTCATGACCCTGCCAGCATGTCAAGACGAACGTTAAGACACTTATTCTGAAACCTTAGGGAGGAGTTCCCGGTAGGCTGGATGTAATCACCATTGGAATTTCCGGTTGAAGCGACTTACGGGAGTTAGCGGCGGTGCCCTCAATACATTTAGCCGTCGTACCTCGTGATGACACGGAATGCGATGGATGCTGGATCTCCGCTGATGTCTACACTTACGGCACACAGGGCTCCTCGTCAACAGACGAACACACACAAGGATCGGTGAGTTGAACACTGGCAAACGCCGGGTGGTATTACTCTTCTCTCGAGCCTCCTTCTCTCAACTCGACATGGTGTAAGCACGCCTTCCGCAACTGTCCAAGATAACTCTCACCGGGCGCTGCACATGTGCGGCGCAACAAATGTCGCATGATTTCCGAACGTCCCCGAGAGGCAACATCATGCTGCGTCTCCACATGAAACACCTGAACCCAGCAGCCAGTGTATGCTACGTACACATGAATTGACACCTCGAAAGAAGGGGCTCGTCCATGAAGACGCATGTGGCCTACCTTCCTGTGCCATCGCAACCCCTGTCTCGGTACTCGCCGCTGCAGCGGGGGTAGCCGGGGCAGACATCATCGCTCGACCCAGGCGGCGTTGTTGCTGCTGCATCCTCCTCCTGGGCTTGCAATGCAGCCCTACAGCTTTGTCGAGAGGAGTTCAGCGGGGAACGTGGCACAACCAAAAATCCCGCTACTGACGGGATGAGGGCCGCCAAGAAGAAGGCCAGCAGGCACAGGAGATGCTGCATGGTGTGTGCGTTCAGTGTGCAGTGCAGCGGCAGAGCACATGCGGGGGGAAAAAGCATAGACTACCCCCCCTCCCACTGACACACGATAACTGCGGCGTGCGTGCCCCCATAGACTCGGCGTGTGAGCACGTGTCTACTGCCTGCCACCGCACATCTCCTGTATCATGAGAGGTCCCGCGAGAGCTCTCGCGCCCCTGCTGGTAGTCAGTTGCTGGCTATCTAGCGTCCAATGCTTCACGGGGCTCGGACCACACCGGGTAGTTCGGCGAGCTAGTCTTCCCACAAGGAGCAATGCTGCGTTTTCTTCGTGTGTCAGCAGCCGAGCCTGTGATGATGTTGCCAAGCGGAGGGGTTATGGTGGTGTCATGATGGTCTCAACACCGTCGGCGGCTGAAGCTAAGGGAGCAATGGTTGATCCTGCTGAGGTGGAGGCGGCTCTTGTAGAAGAGGACAAGAATGTGTGAGTGCTTTTGAATGTCATCGTGAGCTTTGTCGAGTCAGAAAAAAACGGGTCCGGCCTGAGTTTGAATTTTGGCCGCTTCATGTGTCACAACGTCCGGGCGCTGATACCAGCCATGGCACAACACAAATAGCAGTCAGGCTGCCGTTCTCACCGACCGTGGTTAGGAGAACCAATTTCTCCTTTGGTAGCCAACCTTTCTGTTGCGTGGTGTTGTTGGTATTGATGTCCGACAGTGACCCCTACTGCATGGAAGACGTCAGACATCACGATAGATACGTACAAAAAGTGGGTTTACAGCGGTGTAGGCTACCGTATCTGACACTAGATAACACCCCACCCCCTAGGCCATTTTTCAAAGCTCGATTACGCCACGAAGAGGATGCGTGAATGGAACAATACGTTTTCGGAAAGCTCTCGACAAGACAGCTTCAACGCCACGGTTTTCGGCGCTGTGACTCTTTCTGCTGCTGAGAAATCGAGATGTGAAAATCGGTCCAGGGGGTGTATTGTCTTGTGTAATTTTACGGAATGCTGCTGGTCTGTAGATGTGAACGTAGCGTCAGAGATGTCGATAGGTACACCAGTTCCCGAGAGGGGTGCAGCACGGTCTAAGAGAGTATGTCGCTTCCCACCTACACTGACGTTGTGCAAGATTGCGATGAGAGAGTGCATGGCACCGGAATGCAGGTACAATGAGACATGTATCGTGATTGAAGAAGCACGTTCCACGACGTGACTGACTCCTCTCCGAAAACATGCCGCAGAAAGAGTGCGATAACCCCATCTCCGATTCGATTCTGGTGGGAATGTTGAGGGCTACTCTCGGTCCGTGGGTGCTGTGAGATCGGTCGGAGACAATAGAAAATCGAGCAAATATCTGGAACAGCACAAGTATCTCAGACTGTCACGTTGATGCCGAACGTTTTTGTGGATGATGTTCATGGCTCCGCTCTTCCTTTTGTTCAGTACGGCTGGACGTGGATACAGAACTCCCCACTTGTTTTCAAGGCCTACAGTAATCTACATAGAGGGCAAGAAGGCTATTTTACGAAGTAGCAATGGGGTGGTCGTCGCACTCCTTGTTGCAGTATGCCGTAGTCTGCTCAAACCTTGCGCCTGTGTTTATTTACTCACAGCCATCACTATCTCGGAGCTTGATGCTGGCACATGCACCTCCGAGGGCACCGGTGGAAGTCCTCGTCGATTGTGTACGGGAAAAAAAGCCCCGGTGTGCCACATTCCAATCAAGAGATTCGCCCGTAGTTCCTTGCCCAGTGTCGCCTCTATTGCGCAATGTGCTCTTGCGGCGCGGCCATGCTGTGGTGTCGGGGGTATTGGTGCGACGTCGGGAAGACCTTGTACCAACACGATTTCGCTTTTGAACGCGTTTGTGGCGTTATGCTCGGAACCTCAAGCTCGTATCTTGAAAACGCGATACTGTCGTTAACGAAGTGATCTATCCGTCTGTTGCAATCTCTCTTCGCCGAATGCAGCTACCTTGGATTGTTCGCGCTGCAGCTGCTCCCGTCCCTCCTCATCGGCTACAAGCTTGCATCGTTCGTCTACTTCGGCCTGCTAGCCGTCAGCACGGTGTACCTGGGATCGAAGAGGATGGACATCCCGGACGTGAGTTAACTCGGATTCCGCTTAATGCACTACTTGCCAGCAGAACAGACACGCCGCCGCCGGCGTACGGGGGGGCCTGCGTGAAGTGCGGTGTGCCGCGGCGACGGGATAGCAGTGTATCAGCCCACGATTTGCCAAGGGGCGAAGACGCAGGATATCGTGCTCGCGGGCGGGGAGCGAGATGCTGTCTGTCATCTGCTCCTTTGAACCTCGTCTCGTATAGCCGCGCTTTGAACCTGATGTCGTGTAACCGCGTATTTCCCATTCCTGTCTGCAAATTTCCTTCGTCGAGACGCTGCCTTTCCCAGTTCTTGCTTGGGAGACGTTGCGCTCTACTTGGTTGGCTTCGTCCTCAGAGAGAGCGTTGTCTCGTTTCCAACCTTGTGCTCATCAGCCCGTTTGTACCACGGTACTTGCAACTGTACAATCTTCTTGAAACCAGACCACAGCATCGAATCTGCGTTGGGAAACAGATTCTCAGGCACAAGGGTGCATGTATCAACGAAAGGTGTATATCGAAACACGGGCCTGGCTCACCATCCTTAACATCGTATCGCGCGCCGCCACAGGAGACGCGGAATCCCATCACTGCTGCGCAAGCTTTCGGCGCGCCTTTTGCGGCCTCGGTATCGCTCTTCGGCGTGTTCGCCCTCCTCAAGTACACCGACATCTCGGTCGGGATCGCTTACCAGGCGAGTTTCTTTTTGCGGGAGAGAAATATGCCTTCAGATGTTGTGGTGTTCTCTGCTTGGTCGGTGCCTTGCTGTGGTGACGTCTTTCTCAGCCCTTTAACCGCTTTGCTGTTGGTCTTTGCTCCTTGAATTTTCCTTCACTGGTGTTGCGCAGTGTATGATGGGAAACCGATTGGGAACGTCTCATTTCAAGAGGTTATCGCGCATTGCGCTCTTTTTTCTGCGATTTTTCGTTTGTCTGCACATCCTGTGGACATCGCGCATGGTGAATCCAAGTTGAGTAACGAAGTCGTTTTTGCTCGTTTGACTCTTTGTTGTGTCATTGTACTCTTTCGGGTGCATAATTGGCCTGAGGTCATCGAAATCATGCACAGTATTAGTTGGGTCGTGCGGACGTGAACAGGTTCTTCAGAGGGACCGGAAGGGTTTTCTAGTGTGAATAGAGCAACGACAACAAGTCAGCGGAAGAGCCCTCGTACCGTGTAAATGCTGGTTGTCTTGATTAGGGTGGTGTTGCTGTGACTTCTTGGTGATGCCGTACGGCTTGGTTTCGAGGCGCGACTCTCTGACGCAACGATTGTGTCTCACAGGAATCTTCCTCTATCGTGCCTTGATTTTCTGGTGTTGTTGTGTCCACCTTTGCAGTACTTGACGACATTTCTAGGCGTGGCGACGTCCGTGTCGGTGCTCCCACCCATCCTCCGCTCAGTCCTGCCGGACAACGTGGTCAAGGTGCCGGTTTCAGCGCCTCTCGACACGGTGCTCGCCAAGGCATTTCCCGAGGTAAGACTATCGTTGCAAGGAGGCACACAGTCTCTGAACCGTGCGCTTCTGTACACAGATGGTTTGATGTACATTCATCACGGTTTCGGCTTGGCGTTCGAGATTAGGTGACACCGCGGTGTTCTGGCGAAGAATACCTACCCTTGTGTCCAGGAGAATGCTTGCTTTGGATGTAGGGTTTGGCGATATCGTGAGTCGGCTGGGTGGTTGTGTGCTGCGCCGTGCACCTCTCGACGTGCGGTGTGTTTGTGAGCTGCATCTCCTCGCCGATATTACTCTTGGCATCATCACAGAAATCACTCGAGCTTTTCCGCAATTGTATCCCGGCAGCACGTTTTAGCCATGTTTTTCTTCAGTGAATCAGCGGTTTTGACGTGTCCATCTTTGGGTTGGAACAATAACGGATTATTCAAGCGTGTTGGACCTTGACTTTTTTTGTTTTTGTGCTTCTCCGTGATCCCCTATCCAGTCACACATCCTGCTATGTCTGATCATTGCACTAGACCATATCTCACCGCACCTCATGTTTCCGTTCGTTAATCGATGCCCCCGCAGACCTGGGAAAACGACGACCAACCGCTCCTTGACTTCGCAGAGCTTGCCGTGCTGGTGTCGGCAATAAGCGCGGCATTCGTTTGTGAGTGCCCGCGCCACACGCCTTGCCTACCGTACGCCGTGCAGCCTCGGATGACAGCCCCCAATCCCTCGTCGTGTGCCCTGTGTGACGCACATTTAGCTAGCGTCGTAGAAACACGGTGCGTATGCATAGGTCTTGCCTTGCTTGGTGCCTCCTGCTCGTGGGCCTTGAGAAGCCTTTCCTTCTCGTGAATCCTGGGCTGTTGAGAAGACTTACGCTTGTAGCAGGCGGGCGACCAATACGTTCTGTTCTGCGTGGCGCCGGGTACTTCTTTGTGCGAGTCGCCGTTCCATGTCCCTGAATGGCGTGTCATTGAAAGTATTGCCGCCCCTCGTGCGAAATCACGTTCCGCGCAGTCACACCTCCTTTTACGGATTACCGTCACGGGTTTCCTTCCCGGCCCATTTCGCGGAACAGCGCGATGTGACTGTCCTCTTCAACCATCGTTTTCTGCCCGTCGGTGATTCACCCACTTTCGCACGATGCACGCCCACGATGCTGGAGCGAAATGAGACCCTCTTTTGTTTCCGACCGTGTTCCTCTCTCCCTGCTCTCCCTCTTGTGTCTTCTCTCTTCCCGCACATCAACCGCGTTTGGTGCGACGACACAAAGACATCAACCCCTCTGTGGGCTTGAGCGCCAAGTTTCTCATCCCCAACGTATTCGCGTGGTGCATCGGTATGCAGGTGTGGTGTTTTTTTTTTGTGGCTATTGCCGACGAAGTACGGTACAAGAGCGTGTTGAAGTCAGTTGGGGTGCCTAGGCCAATGGTAGTCCTCTGCGAGCAATACTTGACATGAACGCACACGCCACCCGAAAGCCCGGCATGACGTTGTTCATGGTGTCCTCCGGACCATGCCATGTTGCCTTTCCACCATCCCTAAACTTACCTCGTGTTTTTACATGTTTGATCACGCTACTTGTAGCTTTTTGTCGATCCCCGCACGATCAGCGCATCTCTTCGTCATACTGCGTCGCCCTTAAGCGCGGGAAGGTGCAAGAGGACTGCACTCACGATTGAACAGGAAAAGAACAGAAGATATGACAAGGGCACATGGAACGGGGAGTACGTTCTACCTCATATTTCGGGATTTCGCAGCTGGGCAGTAAGAAAGCTCTTGTTGAGCTGTTGAGGGTATGCTATTATAGCTGTCTCTGCCTCTGTCTCCGTCTCTTGTCTCCCACTCGTTTCCTATGCAGCGTTTCGTAAACATCGTTCCCTCCCTCCCCTCGTCCAAACCCTTCCGTGCTCCTCCGCCCTGTGCTCAGTCGATCGGTCTGATTAGCATCTCAACCTTCCCGGCGGCAGCGATTTTGCTCACGGGGTTGTTCTGCTACGACATATTCTGGGTCTTCGGCACGGAGGTCATGGTACGTTCCGCCAAGCCGCGTCGCGTGTGTCATCGCCTTTCTCTAGAGGACCGTGCTGTCAATTTTGGCGGTGTGGTGTAGAGGCCACCTATCTTGCGATGGTCAACTATTGCTGCTGCAATTTTACTTTGTTCCATCATAGGTGCCTAACCCTTTCCCGCTTCTCGCCGTACGCTTGTTCAGAGTTCGCACCATACCTCCATCCTCACCAACGGCGGTCTCGTTTTTGTTGCTATTCCGCCGCTGACACCAATACCTCAGAACACTGGAAGCAGTCTCTTTCTATGCACGTATGACATCCTTGTGTTCCCTCTTGAGGTCCCGCTAAATTGCTGGTGCTGTCCGTGCACAGATGACTGTGGCCACCAAGATCGAAGCTCCGGTAAAGTTCCTGTTCCCGAGCTTGACGGACCCCTCCAAGCGGTACCCCTTCTCCGTGCTCGGCCTGGGCGACATCGTCATACCGGCTACCTTTTGCACACTCATGAGGTGAGTTTCGCCGCCGCCGCTGCTGCCACTGCTGGTGCTGGTGCTGGTGCTGGTGCTGGTGCTGGTGCTGTAGCAGTGTTTGTGGTGGCTGTTATTGCTGTTGCTTTTCCTGTCGGATTTGCGCAACGGTAGATAGATATCACGGCCAGCTCAGCCTGTGGCTTTTTGTCGTCGATGTGGCTACTGGCCATCCTACACGCATGTGTGGCTTCGGAATCCAATGCGCCCCTCCCCCCTCCTCTATGCGCAACTAAGGATTGCCGCCCCCCCCAACGTTTTCTGCATCGTCGCGAAAAGCGTCGACAAACAACTGGAGGGGGGGTTGGTTGTGTACTCATAGTCGTGCATGCCGTAGTCGTTCGACCGTTGATCTCGCATTCCTACAACGCCAGACCGGAGCACGCGGGTCTCACCGGACCAGGCCCTCACATCAACAAGCGCGAAGGGCCGTGAGGTATTCGGCGAGTCGCATGGAGGGTGCGCTGCATCCTGCTAAGGGTGTTAGGCATCTTGTGCGTACTTGGTTGCATGCGGATGAAAGCTGCGAATGGCTAGATTTATTTTCTGGTGCTTTCACTTCTAGAGACACTTGTAAGCACTGTGTAGCTGCCTCGAGGGCGCTTGACCAATGTAGCACAACGTGGTGCGATCATTGCCCTTGCGCGGAGTGAGGGTTCTCGACTCAGCACAAAATGATCTGCTCGACCACCATTGTAGCTACCGAAAGTAAAAAACAAAGGAAAGTAATGCGGTTATCTGGTTGTCGAGCTCACGAAGCGAGCGGCGTGTTTTACAACATGTTGCCAAGCGACGAAAAGTCAGCACCGAAAAGTCAGCACCGAATGCTCTTCGGGAAGTGGGGGGAACCAAGTGGAGGGGGGGGGGTGTACTCATAGTCGCGCATGCCGTAGTCGTTAGACCATTGACCTCGCATCCCTACGAAGCCGGGACGGAGTACGTCGGGTTCTCACCGGACCAGGCTCTCACATCACCAAGCGCGAAGCGCCGTAAGATATTCGGCGAGTCGCATGAAGGGTGCTCTGCATCCTGCTAAGGGTGTTCGGCATCTTGTGGGTACTTCCTTGCGTCGGATGACAGCTGCGTATGACTTATTTTACTTTCTGGTGCTTTCACTTCCTGGGACAGTTGTAAGCACTGTGCAACTGCCTCGAGGGTGCTTGACCATTTTGACACAACGTGGTGCCATCATCCCCCTTGCGCGGAGTGAGGGTTCTCGACCCCGCACAACATGATCTACTCGACCACCATGATGGTTACCGCCAAAAAGAAAACCGGAGGTAAAAAACAAAAAACGGTAACCTGGTTGCCGAGCTCACGAAGTGAATTGGCTTGTTTTACAACGTCGTTGCCAAGCGACGACAACCCAACCCCGATGGCAAACACAGGGGGGGGGGGTCAACGTGATTCCGCCAACACACGCGGAGGAAGAGCTCGCGAGCGAGCCTCTCTCCTTGCGGGGCGTTAGGAGGCCCAGCGTCGAGACGCCGGGAGGGGGCGAGGAAAAATCACCGCCTCTACTTGCAACACAACATCCCGTTCACTGCCCACCCTTTCTTGATAACTCATAACATCTGACATTAATGCTGTCGCCAAGGTCGTTCGACATCTACCTGGAGGGGGCCAGACAAGCCGAGGCTGCAGCTGCCCGAGCCCTCCTAACGGAGGTAGGAAACAAGAACCCGATTGCTCTCTGGCTAGACTCGATCCTGGGCACGCCGGTAGCACAGGCCGGCTCAGGTGTATCCGAGGCATCCCCGAAGGGTATCCCCCCTGGGGGGAGATTGGCGGCGGCGGGAGTGGCCGGCGCTGTGGGAGAGGCGGGGGGCGGCAGATCATACTTTGACAACAGTGTGGCGGCCTACGCGATTGGTTTGGGACTGTGCTTCACGGTGAACTTCGTCTCCAAGTCCGGGCAACCAGGTGTGTTGATGCTGCTGCTAGTATTCCGTTTCCTGCAGTGGTTACCATGCAAAAAAGGCATCATCCTTGATGAGTCGAGGGACCTGTGTCGGGGTTGGGCATCCTTGCGTCCGATGGGGGGACGGCGGCGGGGATTTATCGGAGGGTGGAGGGGTGGGATTGGGAGTTGATCCCATCTTCACTCGACTTTTTTGTTGTCGTCCTATGTGCGCCGCGGAAAGTCTCATCTTATAATCAACCGAACAATTATGACGGGAATCTCGATCCAAACGGACAGTGATGTCACAGGTCGCACGAGAAACAGCTGTTTCTTTGTGGCCTCGATGGTACGTATGTCTTGATTGCTCACTCTGCCTCTCTCTTTCCCACAAAGGACCCCGTAAGGTCGTTCGGCGGTTGGGCTGCTGTTATTGTCGCGTTTTTGTCTGGATTTTGTCGAAGTCGTTCGCGTTGTTTGTCCAGTCAGGCGGTGAGCTGGTTGCTTGATGGTAGTGATAAGAAAGAGAGAGAGAGAGAGAGAGAGAGAGAGAGAGAGAGAGAGAGAGAGCTAAAGAGAGAATGTGTGATGTGTCGCGAAAGGTCATGTTTGTTGTGTCTCTCTTCTTGTGCCTTGTCTTCTCTTTCTTCCTGTTATTGTGTTTCCCTTGTGCAGCCCAGTGTACTCTCCATCTCTGACCAAGCTTTGAAATTAGATGTCCTCCGTTGGCTGACGTGGGTGACTCGGCACCGCCGATGGCATCATCCCCCCCGCCCCCCCGCATTTTTTGTTCGCATTACTCGCAGCACTGCTGTATTTGAACCCGGCGCTACTTTCAAGCGCCATCTTGACAGCAGTGCTCAACGGCAATGGGGAGCTAGGCAAGCTGCTGGCGTTTGGAGTAGGGAAGGACTCCAAGGCATCGGATGACGACCCGTAGTTAGGACGGCGCTGGCGAGTAGCGGTTTGCCGACCACATATTTGCCGTCGATCGTTTCATCATCGAGGTGGCGCTTTGCAGGACTTGAAGTGTACAAGCCAGGCAGAGAGGGATGCAATCAGTTGTGTTCTGCAGCCTTTGGACGAAACGGTTGTCTCGTGCTTCTTCATCTCAGACGTCAAGTCAAGAAGGAAAGTACGATATTGTAGCTGAAAATTGTTCCAGCACACACAGTGCTGATTCAGAGGCAAAGGAGGCGGGAAGATTGTGTGTACTGCTGCTGCCTCTCTCTGCTGCTGCTGCTGCTGCCGCCGCCCTGCCGCCCAACTGCACGCCCCCGCAATTGGGTATGGTTCCAGCCTGCCCCGATCATTTTGCCAGACCCCCTCCATGACCGGCCACATCCATAGTAACTGAGTTCCAGGTCACAGAGCTAGTACATGTAGTGATGGAGTACGAAAAGCAACACAAGTGTTGTTGTGCGGGGGGGTGTACTCATAGTCGTGCATGCCGTAGTCGTTAGACCATTGACCTCGCGTCCCTACAAAGCCGGGACGGAGCACGCCGAGTTATCACCGGACCAGGCTCTCACATCACCAAGCGCGAAGCGCCGTGAGATATTCGGCGAGTCGCATGAAGGGTGCGCTGCATCCTGCTAAGGGTGTTCGGCATCTTGTGCTTACTTCCTTGCGTACGGATGACAGCTGCGTATGACTTAGTTTATTTTCTGGTGCTTTCACTTCCTGAGACAGTTGTAAGCACTGTGCAACTGCCTCGAGGGTGCTTGACCATTTTGACACAACGTGGTGCGATCATCCCCCTTGCGCGGAGTGAGGGTTCTCGACCCCGCACAACATGATCTACTCGACCACCATTATGGTTACCGCCCCCCCCCAAAAAAAATAGAGGTAAAAAAAAAACGGTAACCTGATTGCCGAGCTCACGAAGTGAATTGGCTTGTTTTACAACGTCGTTGCCAAGCGACGAAAACCTAATCCCGATGGCAAACACCGATGGGTTCTGTTGTGCGGGTGTGAATCATAGGCTGTGTCGATATGTGCTCATCTTCTCCCAACAACTGCACACCTGCAGCAGTTGGACGGTCGGTGAAACAACTCGCAGAGAGCAGTTCCGCGCAGACGTGCCTGTCAGGTAGTAAAATTTTGCTTGCCCAACCGTTTCTGTCTTCGGCGGACACAGAACGCCAACTCTCCCGCTGTCTTCAAATTGCAGGAACAACTGCGGCCGCAACGAACCATCTGCAAAAACCCACAGGAAGTGAAATGAAAGCTTCAAGGGATGACTAAGTCCGATATTTAGGTATCCCTCAGCCCTCTCTACTGTACATCGCAACATATGCCTATGCCTCTGAGACGAATTGGCGGCGACGAGTGACCTTTCTCTGATGCTCTGAATACAACCCTAATGGAAGACACATTCCGCGGACATGACCCCCGGGTCACCGGAAAATAGTAATGATCCCAGTGTATCGTACATGTCGTCTAGGCGTATGACTGCTGCTGTGTACCGTATTACCGCAGAATATGAATATCGTAACTGCACTGCTGCAGTACCAGAATGAAATAGTAACACGCAATTCTCTGTGGGAAGCAGGCCCAACGGTACGGTGACGGCCATCTGGTTTATCGCAGTGTGTGGACGCGATTGTTTGCAACTTTAGAAAGGTCCTAAATATGTATACTACACATTCACGCGTACGTATGCGCACGTGTGTGCTCGTGGAGCCAGGAGCGTGTGACCTCGGTTGGGTCGTCTAGCTGGTAGAAGTCGAGGATGGGGGCCAGAGGGGCAGACGACAGAGTCCAATGATGAGAGAAAAACATACAATAAAAACAATAAGCAACCAAATGGCACGTCTTGAATGAAACTGTCGTTTTCGACCAATCGCGCCGCTTTCGGACTTTGGACAGGCCCACGTCCGTTGGATGCCATCATAGTGCAAGGCATCAAGCATAGCACGGCCACCGCTGAATGAAGGGCCATGACGGCGATGCGGTGCTAGTTCCACAAGTACCACACGCATGTCTTCCACTGCGTGTCGCTGCTATGGCGGTACATGCTGCCCTCACAAGGAGGATGCGGAGGCATTCTTTCAAGGCATCAAGCCGGTGCGTGTCATGATGTACGCATGGGTTTACTGCTGTAGTTGAGCTGTGACTTCGCTCATTCCGTCTGGGGTTAGTATACCTTTCTACTGTAGTCGTCTGAGAGTCGGAGGCAGCCATCGGTGCCCCATGGTGCTGTCATTAGCCACAGGCAGAGAAATGCTGCTGTGCGGCACACAATGTACGCGTATGTTTTGGTACAATTTGAGGGTGATGTGTGAGACAGAGTATCGTGCCGCGCTACCCGGTTGACCAACGGGAACCCGTCAGTAGCGTACCAGGTTGTTTTTTCGTCCCATCCAGTGTTCACCTTTCGGCATATATTTGACGCACCAGCTGGGTCATGCAACGTGGTGTAAGTATTTGACTTACTTTTTACCCGTGCCTCCTGCGGTGCATTCAACTTGAACAATGAATGTTTTGAGTTATTGTGACAACAGACTGTACTTCGTTGGATACTTCCGAAAAGGAAGGGAGGTAACTGCAGCATTTTACAGCAGTGAGGGGATGAGTGACACCTGATGGAGACTGGACTTGCAGTCCGTCCGCTTAGATCCCAGTGATTTTTTCTGAATTTGAGGTGCTCACAAGCGCCATTGTTTTCACGAAGTGCTGGCTTCAGCTCGACCATGTCCATACACACACCAGACCTCCAAAGGTATTCATGGAAAGTTGGGGGGTTGGTCCGCTGTGCTTTTGCGAACCCCATTGTGCGAGCACCCGGGGAGGGAGCCATGATTTCGGTAGGATAAACGAAACGACGTTATGAACGTCAAGCTAAGTCTTTCCATCATGAGGGCCAGCGTATGTCTAGCATGGATAGCCGTGGCGGGAGGCGGGCGAAGCGAAACATGGTTTGTGATGAAGTTCTCTGCAGAAATTTTGCGACGTAGTTAAGGTTCACCATGAACAGCTCGAAGAACACTTGATTTGATGAGAAGCACTTTAGTGGATTAAACAGCATTGGTGGCAAAGGTACGCGGCTGTGGGAGTACGACCTATCTAAATGGCTACCGTGTGCACCTAACCCCGCCATCGCCACAACAATGATTTATCCAACAAAACAGGCTGGCGGTGCACAATGTAAGCGTTTTCGGGCGATCCCGTCCTCTCAACCTCCCATCCCAACCTCTACTTGTGATCGGCATCCAATCTACCACTAGCTGCACCTCTGGCTGTCTATTAACCCTTCATTGAAACAACAATACCTGCAGCAGCTACGAGAGTACCTTGAAGGACGATCACCCCTTCGGACGTCAAACAACCTGCTCACACATTGAACATTCTTCTGAGCACTGGGTACGGAGAAAATAGCTCAAACACGTCTTCAAACACCTATCGACACCTACCCGAACCACAACCCAACCATTGCACACCGTCCAGCCGGGCGTATCCCCTAGCCCATCCTAACCCGAACCCTTACCGACTCATCCTCGGACCCAACGCACAGGACGACCTCTCCCGCGCTGTCAAGGAAGCCGTGAGCGACTACGTCGAACTCCGGGGTCTGAACGGCCTTTGCCCCGACGTAAGAAAATGGAGCTCCCCCCCAGCCCCCGCCGCTTTTCTCGACGCCGGTCTTCCGAAAACCGGAGGAACCGGGTCTCTTCCTCGCGGACTCTTACCGTCTGTCAGTTCTAGCACCGCGGTGGGAGCACCAGGAGAATTTCGGGGGTATTCTTCGGAAGGCAAGAACCAGGTAAAGCAATCCGGCACCACCTCTGGAACAAGTGTGGAAAATGTCGTCAGCTTCGCCGACAACGGTAGCAGTCATGTTCACCGCGGCAACAGGCGGTTGAGTTCGGGCTCACGGCACGGGGTCCGGAAAAGGAGCAGCTTGGACAGTGTCGCCAGCAGCATCCCTCAACCGTCATGGGAGGCCGAGGGGCCCGATGGCTTCATCAGCCAGGCAACGTCAATGATTGGTTTGGCTCTGTTTTCTGTGCACGGTGCAATTGCGGGGATATATTTGTGATAGATAAGAGCTTGATTCAGTTGCCGATGCTCGCAGTGAGGAGGGTTACCCTTGCAGAACCACCGAAAAGCTCCTTCCAAGAACGATCTTCGCTGCAAATTCGGCTGGGGGTTTCAAAAATGTCAGAGGTGCTGGCTTGGGTACCCCAAGTTTTATACGGGAGGCACATGCTCCCCATGCTACACGCAAGCTGTTTTGACACACATCCCAATCGTAAGTTCTCAGGCAGCAAGGCAATACCTTTCTCGCGGAAACCCTAACAACTCAGAAAGCTTCCTGTTTAGTTTCTCCCACAGTCTTGTACAGGATTACATCTTTTTCCATCTAGATACAAGTATACGGCTTAAAGCGGATGCGAGCATTCCGATGCAATTCGATTTGGTGTGGTAGGCCTCGAAGCATATGTACCAGTGCTGAATACGGCGGCTGCCATGCTTGCCGTTTGTAGGGGTGCCGTACCGAGGCATATATACACCCAACTCACGCGGCCAGTTCATTCGTAGTCCACAACGTTGATGCTTGTTGTTATGGTCAATTCTTGAACACACAATGCACGAACAACAGGTTCTCTCCTTCGACACGTTGCCAGCGGCAAGCACACCGGCGACGAACGGAAGAGTGGATGAAGGCGGGGAAAGTACGACAACCTCCAGGCTGTTCACGGGTGCGTAGTAGTGTACCTCTCTTTGCTCCTACATTGTAATATCTCCCCAAGACCCAGCACGAACATTAGGAGTTGTATCGGTCGCACGACCTCTTTCACAGCGCGAGAATCGTTTTCCCTTCGCACAACGCTATGTTGCGAGGCACATGCGTGAGGACAATACGATAGTGTCAGGGCTCTCTCGCGTCCGTGGGCAATTGTGCTGCTCTCATTTCCGATGCCCTCAAGTCTGTTGCAAGCCACAAACTCGTTCGACGCATACATGCTGTATGGAGGATCTGTTTTCTACGCGGAGCCGCTTCAAGGGCACAGCATGAAATTTGTTTACCGTGACTACGCTAAACGCCGGGGAGTTCCAAATCTCGACTTTTGCCACCAACTGAACAGGCAGCAGTGGCGAGAGGGGTTTGATGGCGTCTCAGTCTACCCCAGAACTGGGCGGAAATTCGATGGCAAGCCTGTTGGCGGGAGACATCACCGCGGTGGATGCGAAGCAGGTGGGTCCGCCCGCTCTCCGTCTTGTTGGTGTGTTCATTATTGTTTCGACTCATCAGGCCACCTTCCCTGCAGAACGCGTGACGGTATTGTCTCGGCTGTTAAGGCCTACTTGTTGTTGTTTGTTGTTGTTTCTCACATTAGCTCTAAAAAAAAAAAAAAAAGATTGGGAGCCCGTGGTCTCAAAACCCGGCATACACGACCCCACGAAGAAACAGAAAAAATTGGGTACAAAAACCACTCGGAAGAGAAACAAAATGATAGAAAGAAAGACCAGCTACCGCACCAAACGAGAAAGAGCGTCGAGGAGACCGATCAAAATAAAATAAAAGGAGAACGGGGAACGCTTCCCACACCCGCCTACAACGCCGGAGGGTTCCGTGCCGGGTTCCCGCCGACCAGGCATCCCCCGCCCTGCACCACACCCCAGGGGGTGCAGCAAGACGGGGGGCGAAAGCCTACTGTTGTTCCATGGTTCAGTGTACCACAGGTTCAGCAAAATGAAATGGGGAAAAGCTTCGTGTTTCGAGTTCCCTCCCCCCTACCGCCCACTTCTGCTTGACCTTGCGAAAACGTGTCGTTTCTGCAGCTTCTTCGCCGTTTGAGGCAACAAACCAAGACGTCGCGCCACCGCAGACATGGCGCCAACAACAGCACCACCTCTACAACAAAGCCACGTAGCGGGGCTCGAACATCTCGTCCTAGCTTCAAACGAAACCGTGGCGGTAAGGGCCCAGCGCAATCGCCCCCACGAACTGGGGTGGGGTTAACGTTCCCCCCATTCTCCCCGCCCGACGCCTGGGACGATACCGGCCTGTTCACCGTGGCACCGCGGCCCAAGACGGTTCCTTCGCGTATCCCGTCAAGAATCCACCACGACCAGCAGCACCAGAGGCCCACCCTCGCAAGTCACACTCTCGCGAGCCCCGTGGTTGCGGGCAGGACCTCGGACCCCCCCTCCTCCGCGGTGGTGGTGCCCCCGGGCTCGAATGGAAGGAACGTGGACGACTCTGCTGTTGTTGGCACTATGCTGCCGAGAGAGTTGTGGCAAAAGGGCCAAGATATTGGATTGGGGCGGTCTGGATCTTCTTCTGACAGTTTCGGGTTGTGGCCGAAACGACGACGAAAGGTAACATACGATCATCACGACAGTTGCATATTTTGCTATTAGAGTATAGGAGTGTGCTCCGGACTTCGACAAATGGCGTCTGATATGTACAAGGCGTTGGTTCAGGGCGCTTGGTGTGTTATTTGGATGGTTTCGGATGGTGGCGGAAGAGGCGATGCAAAATAACACTTCAAGCGATATGCACATATTTTTTCTTATTATTTGGAGCGTAGCATGGTACCGACTTACAGTAGTGCATTGCTCCTGATGTGCACGGTGTGTTTTTTTATCGATTTTGCAACACACGAAATGGCCTTGCCATATGAACATCATCCACAGAAAGTATGCGCATCAGCAGCACCGAGTGTGACAGGCATCGAGTGACGTAGCGATTGGTCAGAACGGAAGCTAACGGCGGTGCAATCGAGTGGCGATGGCACCCGTACGCTAGTTTACCTCACGAGTGCTCACCCCGAACTCTTCCTGTGGAGAGGGCAGTAAGGGGTGAAATGGGCCGAGAAAGTGCAGGGAATAGAATAACCCCTCCCAGACGACGCTGCCCTTACACACAATCAGCGGCGAGGATGAAAGTCTCACTCCCTTCGAATCGCTGATCATCAACGTCCGCGCTCGCTGTCGTACCAGGATCCTGGCCCGTTAGTTTCCCATGGGCCATATCTTGATTTCACGTACGTTTTCGAGGATCTGCGGCACAACAACCACGGCCATGCATGATCCAATGGAGACCCCCTCGCCACCCGCAACCTGATCTCTAACTCCCAACCCCACAAGCAGACCCCGCTGTCATTTTCTTGGCACAAGCCCCGCTTCCATAATATCAAAAACCAATATCCCGCCTCCGATTTCGCTTGGAACCCACCTCAGGTTGGCGGTGGGGCAGGAGATGCCGCCGTGGAGTTCTTGGATATTAGGGAGGCGGCACTGGTAAGCGTAGCCGAATCATTGGCGAGAAGGGCCCTGCCCTGGCAAGCTCAGCTTTGTCCCAGAGCGCTCCAGGATCTCGAGATTGCCAGGGTGAAGGTAAGCATGATGTTCAAGGGGTCTTTGTCGCAAAGAAGAGCCGAAGGAGAGCTGCTTGTTGCCGGTCGATCCAATGTCACACGCGTAACGCAACTCTTGCGCGAAACGATGGAGGGGACGGTTTTTCCTTCTGGCTGATACAGTCATTAAAGCGTTTCAAAGTCGATTGCTACAAGCGATACAAAAGGGTGTCTTGTTGTTTATGGCGGACGCTAATATCTTGAATGTCTTTCCACATCTGTTTCTTTCTCTATCGATCTCAGTCTCTTTCTCTCTCTCGTTCTCTCGCTTGGGTTAAAACTTTGGGGCAGCGTTTGGAAGCGGTATTCCAGCTAGAATGGAAACCTTGCATAGCCGCGCTCGTTTTCCGTGCACATGTTACGGCGCTATACACTAAGTCTTCGCTGATTTTTCACTGGTCTAGATTCTGCCGCTTTCTAAATATTTCGTTTTCGTGTTTTCGCTGTTCTTCGATCTTTCCAGATCTTCCATGCTTCTGAAAAGGAGCGGCAGGCGGTGCATAAGGCTCGGCAAGACGAGATCTTCAGGGGACAGCTTCTAGGGGAGGAACGATCCTGGGAACTGTTCGGCAGGGCACAGGGCAGATTGTTCGAGGGTTCTCTTGACAAGGTGTGCCCGGGTCCACTCAGACGTCAAGCAGTCTGATCACGTTCATTTTTTTAGGCCGGCGCAAATCACGAATTATTTCAACCAGGCCCTCGTGCATGCCACCCTGCTTGCCGCTACCCCTAGCAAATTATTTCGAGTCACTCAAGCAAGCTCGTCCTCACACGCTCCGCGCATCTTCGTAGGTGTGGTGAGGTGCCAGCCTCCTCGGAGAACGTGTAGTGAACTATCGAGGTTGATAATCAACACGACTTTTCCTACACTAACACCGCGCGTGAAGCCGTCGAAAATGAGCCACCGATCAGTAAACAGAAATTTTGTGAACGCCATTGTGATGCGACAATATGCTTTCAACAACCACGTTTTCAGATCGCTGACTACGTGACAGTGCGCGAAAGCGACCACGCCGCGTATGTGGCTGCTCAGGCGCTGATGAGGACCGCTCGGGTGCAGCGTGTGGAGGTGAGGAGCGTGGTTGGGGGTAGTGAACGACAACACTGATTGCGGCTACTTCTTTTCCCGCTTTCGCGGGATGGTGAAGGTTTCCATGAACAACAGGCGTACGCCCAAAACGTAGAACATCCGAAGCTTTATAAACTCTACCATACAAAGTGCAATTTCGACGTTCGTTCCGTGTTGCCGTATTCCACTGCAAATGCGTGGCTGTTTGCCCCGCTAGACGCATGGCTGTTTGCTCCGCCAGATTGCTCGTGCAAAATGATGAACCTAGTCTTGACGATCAACTGCATGCTGTACCCTCCAATTGTGCCACTTTCCACCCTTGTGTAAGAGCGCGGGACCCTCCAGGATCTGGAGAGATCATCCATTACAGCTGCCAGTTTCTTAGATCGGTCGAGAATTGAGACATCGCAATAAACAAAAACCTTTGCATGGCGTGAGGTGCACATTTCATGCGTAGGGGGCATGGAAGGAGTTGCGGCTAGACGACGACCTGTCGAGTGAAATCGCGGGATATGCATCCAGTCATACCCTACGTCCCCTTCGGTTCATCAACAAGGGACTCGATCGTTACAGCATCGACGTGCTCGAGCAAGGGGAAGCAGACAGCGCCTGGCTTTGCAGGCGTATCACCCAAGTGGACGTGCTGTGGGATCCGTCAGCATGCATCGCTACGAAGGAGGTGAGAAAAAACGGGCCGACAAGGTTAATGTCACACGCTTATGCACCTTGCTGGTACAACCCGTATCGCTTGGACTGTTTTCGTTTTCTTCCCTTGGACAACGCGAGGGAGTCATGAGTCTGCTCGATGCGTGTCCCCTTAAAACACGCAGCGGGAAGAGCAGCGGGCGAACACCATCCTAGAGGCCTGGAGGAAAGGCCACTTGGCGGCGACATCTCAGCTGGACGCTTCACTTTGGTTAGAGGCGGTCGGGGCGAGGGCCTTGGCATCGGAGGAGAGCGCGAGGTGGGTAAGGTTTCGGGTCCGAGGCGCGGGGGTGTATGGTCACGAAAAGAGATGGCACTCCTACAGTTGTGCCCGCAATTGTTCAGCTAACAACAATACTGATTAGATTTACACGATGAATGGAACGTTGGTGGAGGGGGCAATCATCACTGGTCAGCCCGACGTCCTGCTTGCGTTATTGCCCCATGCTTTGTGGTGGCGACGGGACACGCAAAATGTGACCCCCGACAACAAATTCCTGTTCTCAGCTGCGGTCCCCAAGTGTAGGAGGGTGCAAAGCGTGTTACGGGTTTCGATAACAAACCCTTCGTTGCAGGATCGCGTTTGGCGAGGGTTCTCTGTTCAAAAGGAGCTAATGGAAGCAAGTTGGGTCGTAGATGGGATGAATGATATGAGCCTTGGGGCAGGTGCGGACTCGAGACTTGACAAATCGCTCGAACCAATCGAATGAGACAGAGCGAATGGTATCGAAACGCGACGACCTTCGTTGATTGGCAAGTCAGGTGGACGAGGGGAGTGACGGAGATGGTTGACGAAGATGGGCGGCGGGCGGAAGCGGATCGAGCCAGCGAAAGAAGGCGAAGCTCGGACAGGTGCGCAACAGCAGTGCCTCTAAAGGTGCTGGTGACGGTCAGCAGTGAAGCGTTGTTGGAGCTGGCGATGATGGGAAGTGTTGTTGAAGCTGGCGTTGATGATGATGAGCTTGGCTGCGGGCAACGCTGAAGGATGGCACATCTTGATGCAGCCAAAGGGGGGAAAGTGGCAGTGATGAAGTCGTTGGCAGCGTCGACCATACCCAAACGGCGGTGCTTTCCCCGATTTCGCGCACAGTATCCCCAACCGTTTGTGCTTGTTCTCCCTAGATATTCTAGCATGCTGCAGAAGGCGTGTGAGTCGGACCGGGATGAGAGGGGTGCCTCCCAAGAGGCGTGGAACTTGCAGGGGTGGCTCTCGGTGGGATCACACAAGCTCGTTCAGCAGACACTGCGGGCTCTTGTTCGTGGGTGCAGCCACCCATATGCGGTGAGGGTCTTTTTTGGATAAGAGCGGAGCAGCAACCTACTTTAGAACTGTCGTCTGAGCGAGCGATCTCCTGTGGCGGTCCTTGTCGCTGATGTTGTAGTTATTGTTTGTGGTGATGACTGGTCGTCACGAAATCTAGCTTTGAGCCCCGCCCGGTGGGATAACTCCAACAATGTGGGCTATGCTTCAATATTTCGATACGCTGGATGGGCGAACGGCTGACATGTCTTAGTCACAGAACCACCATGCACGGAACAGCTATCGATATGGATGCATGGCACCTTACCGTTGACTCGGTGGCGAGACGCTTGTTAGCGGATGGCTGGCGTTCATGAGTCTCTTCCACCTGTGAAGCTACTCCCACGCGGACTCGCCGATCTCATTCTTGTATCACCCCGCCCGGTGAACTTACCATCTCTGTGCATATCACTCCTGGGTGTAGGTCCGCGACGTGCTGTGGGAAGCTCGCAACGCCGCCGAGTTCGCGGCGGCAGCGAGAGCGGCTGCCGCTTCCCAGCTTGCCGAAGACTCCCGAGGGTTCTGCAACGCTCGCCGGGGTCGGAAAGCCATGGTCAGGCAGCACAAGCAAGACATCCTTCTCGTGAGTGTGGAAAACGGTAGCCACCAGATTTTTGTAGATGAAGAGGACGTTTGGTCCGACGACCCGGTAGCCTGCGGACGTAGATTTGTGAATGCGGAGGCTGGTAGTCGTCTGCTTTCGAAGGATGGAACATCTACAAGATTAGTATATGATGATGAAGCGAATAGTTTTGCCACCAGGCATTCTGAAGGTTGAATGTTCCAATAGACAGCGGTGATCTTGGCCATGGACCTACTCGGCGGGGGTTGGCGCACGAACAAACATGCAGCGCTAGGGAAGACAGGTGAAACATCTTTTTGTAGCAGTTTTGCTCGCTACCGCCTCTCTCTCTCTCTCTCTCTCTCTCTCTCTCTCTCTCTCTCTCTCTCTCTCTCTCTCTCTCT